CTACTAATTCGGTCCAAATTTTAATTAATTCAAAATTTTTTTTGTGACCGAACGAAAGGATATTTTTGAAAACTTTCTTCGGCAATATTGTTCTAAATTATGGCAGGAATCGATTGGTACATGTTTCAAGTCGCTTAGTGGTCTGGTTGCCGAGTTATGGGCCAAAAACTGCATTTTTTCGAGGTTTTTTGGCTTTTCCGGGAAATCCATGAAAGAAACCCGTAATTTTTATGGCCTATGTTCATCCTCGTAACTTGCTTAACATAATTGCTTTTGGAACTAGTCATCGATATTGCTTCGTTGAGGAGATACGACTTAAAGCCCGGACACACATTCATCCATACATCCATACATTCATTCACTCATTCATCCATCCATTCCCAGAAATGACGAGTTAATAAACGCAATTCTCCAGAATGGAAATTGCGCTAATAAACGCAATTCTCCAGAATGGAAATTGCGCTAAAAACCGACGTTGTGAGTAAGGGCTTTCCGGCTTTTTTTTTTCTCTATTTACAATAAACCGGGAGTGATCTCCCCTAAACTTTCTCGAATATTCTTATATAAAATAACAGGGGATGGGAACTCGGGCTATAGACATGATTTTTAATCCATTTTAAATACTTAAAGTTTTAAAAATAGAATAAAATCTCGTAGACAAATTAGTTGCACACCAAGTGAACGCCAAATCAAAAAGCGCCTAATAGTGCGCAATATTATTAGTACTTTTAAAATTTACATTAGTTTTTTGAGAAATCGGAAGTAGCGTAAATTACTACTTCCGGTCAATGGAAATTACTCAAAATTTAACAGAAGGTAGAGAATTAGATCTTTTACTTACATGTGAAATTTCATTTATCTATCTGAAATAGTACTCAAGTTATAGGCTTTTGAAAAATTCAAAGTAGAAAAAGTACCACTTCCGGTTATCGGAAATCGCTCAAAAGTTGATAGTGATCAACGATTTTGATAAAATACTTATATATGAAATTTCATCAACCTAGCTGTAACGGTACTCAAGTTATCGTGTTTACACACAGACAGACACACACACAGACATACGGACAGAATTGCAACGCCCAGTTTTTCAAACTGGATTACGCATAAAACCTCTTAATTTTGATAAATCTGGATTGATAATTTTTGCCCGATTAAAATAAGTCCTCTATACTTCGGATGTGATAAAGGACTGAGGTGTAATAGGGTAAAAATTGTTAAAATTTCAATTGATTTTTGTGCACGATTACAATACTTTCTCTATACTTCGTATATACGAGAAAGTAAAAATACAAAAATGTGTGAAAGGGGGATAAATGTGTCCGAAATTTGTTAAATGAAAAGGAAATTTTTCTAGTGAAAGGTCGATGGGATTAACTATAAATCCCAAAAATAATGTAATATATGTCCCGTTAAAATAAAAAATTTACATTTCTATACCCTTTGTTATTTTCAATTTTTTTTTGCATTTATTTCTATGCTCATATTTTACCAAAAAAGTCGTCTCCACTCAACAACTTTTTCCACAGCTTTCAACACCTTTTTATTATAATTTTTTAAAGGAAGATAATTAGATGCTTGATATATTGACATCACTGTAGGCGCAAATTAGGAGGTTGCTTTTTAAAGAATCACTTTTTTCTATTTAGCCGTGTTTAGAGTAGCTAGTTTAGCTGGTGTGCTGTGATCATTTCACAAATAAAATGGCTGGGTAGGCGGCGTCATTTATAACTAAATATAGACGCTTTCTATAGAGTTTCACTCAAAGCACACGCTAAACAACGTGTTTAGGTGGGATTGAAATGGTTATTTAATAAAAAATTTGTGGTAAAATAATAATTTCAAACCTTAACTAATTTGTCCGTGTTGTTTACGTCGATTCTCAGATAGTGAAAAAAAATGTGTTTATTAGGAGTTATCTAAATGTTAAGCAAACACAAAAAAAAAGTTGATGAGAATTCATAATTCTCTGCCAAAATGAACACTTTTAATTTTTTTTTAACGCATTTTATTTGCATCAGGGTAAACAAACACATTGATACAGAAACATTTGAAACAAGATGTTTCCTTGATGAGATACCACCGATCTAAATACAAATATGTAATAGAGCATTATATATATATATATATATATATATATATATATATATATATATATATATATATATATATATATATATATATATATATAAGCATTGGTATTTGTTTATATACACATTAAAACGAAATAAAACTAGAAATATTTGTTAAATAAAGTAATTTAACGTATTCGGTTGATGCACATGTCTGTATTAATTAGTTCATATACATTTACACAATTACATCACTGTCTATTATGTGATTTAAACTTTGAGAGTCGCATCAACATTATTCATGTACATAGGACTGGGGTGCTAATACCAGCTCAAGTTAAAATAGTGCTATTGGCAAAAATACCTACAATTTCTAAATTTTGAATGTCACATGTCATATGACAATTACACGTTCTTACTATATATATATATATATATATATATATATATATATATATATATATATATATATATATATATATATATATATATATATATATATATATATATATATATATATATATAAAGATTGATTGATTTATAGATTATAAGATAATATGTGTATATGTGTGAGTATGTGTAAAGAGATAGAATTTGAAAACCCCCACCCATGAGAAAAACCTGCCTCCTCCCCTTGAGCTATCGAGTACTAAACTGCATTGAACCTATAGCACAACACTCGTGTTTTGTAAAGGGGTATCTCAGGGTACAAACTCACTCCAGTAGATAGTTAAGTTCATTGAACAGTTCATACTTCGAGTCATTCTCAAAGCAGAGAGTACGTAATTCGAGACTCTAGTATATTGCAATAAAGATATGAAATACGGCATACATTGAACCAGACATAAAGTACTTTAAAAATATGCTTTTTAAAAACATGTGTACATTAAATAATCTTTAACAACATGACATTTTAAACTTTAGATATCTTTAAAAATAATACATTGTGATTATAAAAAATATTGAACAAAAAACTGAATAAATGGTCTATGTTTGTGCTTTGTGGACCATGAATAAACGGTCATTGTTTTGTGTTGTATTGACCAAGAATAAATTGTCATTGTTTTGTGTTGTGTTGACCAAAAATAAATGGTCATTGTTTTGTGTTGTGGACCAAAAATAAATAGTCCATGTTTATATTTTGTGGACTAAAAATAAATGGTCCATGTTTATGTTTTGTGGACCAAAAGTAAATGGTCCATGTTTATATTTTGTGGACCAAAAGTAAATGGTCCATGTTTATGTTTTGTGGACCAAAAGTAAATGGTCCATGTTTGTGTTGCGATGGCCAAGAATAAATGGTCATTTTTATTGCCTTAAATGGAGGGGTAAAGTGTGTGTATGGGGGGGGGGGTGGAGTGTTATGTTTAATCGTGTCACAAACTCATCAACGTCATTACCTCACTTCAATTAATGTCATTTAACTTTCAATAGGATTGTTTGACTTGACAAGGGACATGACTCATTACCACAAAGTGGGGAAACAAGAGTTATTTTGTATGTGAGTCTACATCTGGGCGTGTCCTTCAATCTTTTGTTTTTGTAACAGAGCACGCCATAATTCTCAAATATATATATATATATATATATATATATATATATATATATATATATATATATATATATATATATATATATAAATTTTAACAATATTACATTCATATTTATATAACTTTGTATACATTGAATCATCAAGCTAAGAACTAAATCACGAGTGAATCAGGTAAAGCTACATGTCATAAATATCATAATCATGTTGCTAATCTTAATCTATCTGATTCTATCTGAACATTTTAGGTTTTAATGGTGACCACATTATCCTTTCATATCCTGAGGTCATAGAAACATGTGAACTCTACTTCAGCTACTTTAATCTTCTTTGTCGTGAATCAAAACAAAGCAACAGCATACCACAGATAGTTCACCATGGAGACTTAACAAAACTAGCAGATATAGACAGGCAAGGCTCACGATTGAAAATATATTTAAATACTAGGTAAATGTTCTTTAACTGTCGGGGGGGGGGGGGGTGGGAAGAGTAAAATGTGACGTTATTTATGGATAGCCCACAATGTGGCAATAAATATATTCAGGACATCTTTTAATTGTTTGATCGACAGTGGTATATTAAAGCTGAGCCAGTATTTACCAACACAATAACCTAAATATGAGCGTGTAGCACAGACTAAAGACCTACTACACTCAGAGGCGTAGCGAGGGGGGGGGGCGGGGGGTGCGGACCGCACCGGGTGACACCATTTAGGGGAGTGACATCAAGGCAAAAAATAGCAAAATATATAGAGAAAAACTTGAGGGGGGGTGCAAATCGAAAGTTTGAGGGGGGGGGTGCAAATCGAAAATTTGTCCCCGGTAAGGGTCGCTACGCCTCTGGGGGGGGGGGGGGGGGTGACACCATTAAGTGCCGCGCCGGGTGACACCCGACCTCGCTACGCCACTGACTACACTGACTGATAAGAGAAAGCTTAATATAATTATGTTCATTGTTATAATATCACTTGGTAAAAAACAAATGTTTAATACATACATAATACAACAAAAAAAATGTTTATTCTTAATTATGAAAAAATTATTTACGCAAAATGGTAATATATACAGTGTGTGTATATAAACAAAATAATGTGACTAATTATTTATTTTGTTACCGTCCGGGAAAAAAAAAGGCGACTTGGGTTAGGTTTATGTATAAATCTAGGCTTAGGACTAGTTTAATTGTCTAGGTAACGACTTGGGTTAGGCTTAGGTATAAATCTAGGCTTAGGGTTAGTTTAATTGTCTAGGTAATGACAAGGGTGTACGCAGTGTTTCTTCCAGACTTTTTTCTCCGGGGGGAGGGGAGGTGATGCACTTTATATTTTCGGGGAGGCGGACTAATTTTCAGGCGGAGGGGGGGTGGGGGGGGGGGGGCGGGCGGACACTGATAAAAGTATATATTTTCTAATTAATTTCCATTTCGTTCGGGGCAGGGCTGGTAGATTTTCTTAAAAAATCTAACCATTATTTAACTATATGTAATTTTCGCGATTTTGTAGGAAAATTCTGCTCCATTCCCTGGTGTTATCAACTCGTAAACATGTGACGTCATTCTTATCGCTGGGGTCATATTCATATCAACATCTGAACACGTGACGTCATCGGTATCGATGCTGTCCGTCAGGTCATCAGATGCCGGTGCTGTCCGTCAGGTCATCAGATGCTGTCCGTCAGTTCATCAGATGCTGTCCGTCAGGTCATCAGATGCCGGTGCTGTCCGTCAGGTCATCAGATGCTGTCCGTCAACTCATCAGATGCCGGTGCTGTCCGTCAACTCATCAGATGCCGGTGCTGTCCGTCAACTCATCAGATGCCGGTGCTGTCCGTCAACTCATCAGATGCCGGTGCTGTCCGTCAACTCATCAGATGCCGGTGCTGTCCGTCAACTCATCAGATGCCGGTGCTGTCCGTCAACTCATCAGATGCCGGTGCTGTCCGTCAACTCATCAGATGCCGGTGCTGTCCGTCAACTCATCAGATGCCGGTGCTGTCCGTCAACTCATCAGATGCCGGTGCTGTCCGTCAACTCATCAGATGCCGGTGCTGGATGTGGATCTTGCCGAGCTCATGGATGACGAGGTGTGATCCACAAGACTGGATAGCTGGGCGTCCTTATCCACGAGACCCAGCAGTTTCAGCAGCTCCATCCGGAAGCGTCTCCCCGAGAAGCAATAGAAGAGGAAGTTCAAGGCCGAGTTGAAGACGATTCCGACTTTTGCAAAGGCAAATGCAGACGACAGTTTCGCTTTGTCAGCCTGTATTGACAAGTTTTTAGAAGTTGTCTTTATTGGGGAAAAAATGGTTAGACAATATTTTTTTTATTTTTAAAATTTGAATTGGAATTGTTATTTACACAACTTCAACCTAGAAGGGCAAGTCATTTGGTAAGTAAGGACGAGTCATTGAGTCAGGTGGCATGAGTCATTGAGTCAGTAAGGACGAATTATTTAATCAGCAAAGGCGAGTCATTGAGTCGGTAAAGGCGAGTCATTGAGTCGGTAAAGGCGAGTCGTTGAGTCAGTAAGGACGAATCATTGAGCCATGACGAGACATTAAGTGTCACAACAATGTTACAACAACAACAGAAACACAGCAACGGAAACACAACAACGGAAACACAACAACGGAAACACAACAATGTTACCACAACAACAGAAACACAACAACGGAAACACAAAAACGGAAACACAACAACGGAAACACAACAACAGACACACAACAACGGAAACACAACAACATTAATGGAAAGATAGTAAAAAATGGCGTCAACTTGTTTACTTCCGGAATTGATGTCAACTTTCTTTCATAGTTTTTAGTGTTTTTATTCACTATTTAATCCAAATAAATCTAAGGGAAGTACTACTCATCCATTAGGGTTGAGAATGTAGTTTAATACTAATTTACTAGCCGGTTCTTATTGTGATATTTTAAGTTTTTATTTTATTGTCTCATCCATTGTAATAAAATGTAAACCGGATATCTATATTCTTAGTTGTTGTAGATCTACTGATGATTCGTTTTCTTTTTCATCTATTTCTACTGATGTCAGCATGATATTTTAATTTTACTGGTGAGTGAAAATGTTAGGGACTGGTGTTGTCACCAGAAGCAGCAGAGCTAAGAAGTATCGTTTAAATAAAGAAAAAGCTATATCAAAAAAGATTGCTAACATTTGTGCAGCGGATGATATTCATTTTCAAAAGAAAGATGGAGGACAATGCGTTATCATTGCCTTTAGAAACTCAATTAGCTATGAAAAAGTAAAAAGAATCTTCAAAACTAAATATGCTGGTGTTGTTGAGGAAAGAAGGGATGATGATGGCGCCAATGTTGAAGATAATTATAAATTACCAGGGCTGTCTGTCCATCTGTACCACACGAATAACAAAATTATGGTACAGGGAAAATCTAACGTTGTGTCTGTTTGGGTGGATTCGGAATTTTGCTGTATTTTAAATAACCTAATTACAACAGACAAAGCTGTCGACATGCCTCTACCCATGTCGCCGCCACTATCACTGTCACCACCACCTTCACTGTCCCCACCCAGAGTATTGGAGCTACCCATTTCACCGCCCATGATTATGTCTGCTTCCAACAGTGACAATCAATGTGCAGAGGATACGATCAATACCAATCCGTTAGATTGTGTAACACCTATAAATAACTATACATTTTCATCAAACCTATCTCAACCAACTGATTTGCTTAGTCCAAAAATATCATTTCTTCAAACCACACAACTGGATAATAACTTAAGATCGTTTATTCTTAACGAGATCACCTGTGTTAAAAAAGCTTTTAAAGCGGAGAAATTGCTGTTTAACAGCCAACTAGAACAACTCCGAGTCGAAAACGCTGTCTTAAGGGATGAAGTCAAGAGACTATCTAATGAAGTGCATAGCTGCAAAGATATACACGTTAACCTTAAGAAACGTTTGATTGATCAAGAAAATATTTCTGCGTCACTAAAGAAACTCCTCACAACCAAGAAACCCTCTTGCAGCACAATATCCACCTCAACATGTGAGGATAATCAACAACAACTAATAAATGATACAAAAATCACATCGGCAGGCATCATGCAAGAAGCTCCGTTCCCAATCCCTGTTAAAATTACACAACGTGATGACAGAGCGCGAATCAAACCATCGGAACATTCGAGTCCCAGCACCCTGCAACGACCACGAACTAAAAGCAATTCTACACAATACAGCGTCCCAACGGTCAAGGCTGTTCATGTCCCTGTTGTCCAACGCTCTACTCACTATGCCACTAATAGAGATAGCACACAACATGTCGCCGCCCCCTATACCAACCAAACAACGAAACACCATTTGATCCTTGGTGACTCTACACTTAAAGGTCTCCATCCTGATATAATGGCCACGGATCATTACGAGCGTGTATCGGTAATAGCGCTGCCTGGGGCAAATTTTGAAAAAATTAGGGACATTATTAGTAGCCGATCACGTGACTCTAATACCACAACTGTAACCTTACATTGTGGTGTCAACGACAGTCTATCAAACGTCAGGCTGTCACAAGCTAATATGCTAGACATTGTGAGAAGTATCACTCACAAATTTCCCAACGCAACAATCCGATTTTCATCCATCGTACCCCCATGTCGGGGCAAGGGTAGGCAGTTGATAGATATAAATAATAGATTTTTACAATCTTTCTGCATTAGTTATAAATACTGTTTTATAAACAATACACCTTTTTTCACTGCGAAGTCAGGAGCCCCGAGACAACGCTTGTACAGTGACAGTATTCATTTGACTAAAATTGGAAGCAGCATTCTTGCTAAAAATATAAAGTATCCCCAAAGAGCCGTCAGCTTAACAGATAAAGACCATGTGCAACTTTCAAACGTAAAAGGTACAACGTCTGATTTGGATTCGACTGTTGATTTGCTTCCAACAATATCTTCAGATCAATTGAACTCTAGCCCAGGCTTACATCACTTAATGGGCTTTAGCCCTTTGTTGCTTCATCAAGCTCTAATGTTGTCGCTTAAGCGCCTTCCTGGAACCTAACTTTTTTCACTTACTATTTACTAGTTTAGCTCACTGTACTATTTTAATTATAGTGAAGGCAGTGTGAAGAGCAGCGAGTGTTTGTTTATCGTATAACAAAGCGTGTAATTGTAAGACAATTATATTGATTCTGTTTAATTAGTTCATTATATTGATTTTTGTTTATAACATCTCTTATTCATTGATATTTTATTATCTTTATGCATTGTCTATTTTCATCATCCTGGCCCTCACAAAGTGGGCTAAAATTGGGCCATTTAAATATTTTCCACATATTTAATAAACACCATGAAGTTCTAAAAATTTTAAACAATTCCAACAATCCTTTCCATATCTTTGGTTTCTCTGAAACTCGATTACAATCTTTTATAAATGATGTTGAGATATCCGTCTCTGATTATAACCTAATACGCCGAGACCCATCCTTACACAAAGAAACTGGCCTTTGTGTCTATGTCCACTCCTCAATTCGTTTCAAGTACAGGATGGATCTGTCAACGGACAATATAGAATGTATTTGGATTGAACTCGAAAAAAGCAAACACCATCCGGCAATTTTAATTTGCTTCCTTTATAGAAATCCCTGTGAAAACATGGATTGGTATGATCGTTTTTGCTCCATGATGGATACCGTTTTATCTACTAACAATGAATATATCATATTGGGAGATTTTAATATAAATTTATTAAAACCTCAAGGATATTGGCAAGATATTATTGATTCTTTGAATCTTAAACAATTTGTGCACACGGCTACCAGGGTAAATGATAAATCTAGTACAATAATTGACCACATATACGCATCACCTGACTGCAACCTAATAGAGGTCTGTGTCCCCTCTTGTGGTGTTAGTGATCACTTCCCTGTTTGTTGTACTTTTTCGACAAAAAGATTATGTGTACCTTCGCGGCAACACATAACTATAAGTTATCGCTCTTTTAGAAAATTTAATGAAAATCTTTTTCTTTCGGATTTATTGGCTGCCCCCTTCTGCAATGTATACAATTATAATTGTCCCGATCTTGCCATTTCTGAATGGCTGCGTATTTTCTATACTATATATGATAAACATATTCCTAAAATCTCTAAAAGAGTTAAGACTACATACAAACCTTCTTGGTTTAACAACAATATCGAATCTGCAATTAATAAAAGAGACTGGCTTAAACGTTATGGAACTTCTGAGGACTTTTGTAGGCAGCGAAATTATGTCAAACTGCTCGTGCGTAGGTCGAAGAAAGAGTATTTTAATAAGCTGCTGTCAGGCAAACCTAATTCCAAATCTATCTGGACTGCTATAAATCAAATAATTAGAAAAAAACGCACATGTAATACAGCTGGACATTGCCAGATATCTGCTGATGACTTTAACAATCATTTTATATCATCTGTAGCGCTCAACACAGATGCTGATTACACAATCAGTGAGGAGCTTAAAAATTTTTGTAATTCTGCTCACCGTGGTAGGACAGAGCTGATCATTCCGCTTCTCACTGTTCATGAAGTTTATGTTAGCCTAAGATCTCTTAAACCGTCTTCAACAACTTCGTTTGATGATATTTCTAATAATGTATTGAAGATTTCAGCTCCAATAATTTCCGAAGTTTTAACCTATGTCTATAACCTCTGTATTGCCAAGCATTATTACCCGACACATTTTAAGCATGCTAAGGTTATACCACTACACAAAAAAGGTAACATCCAAGACGCTAATAACTACAGGCCAATTTCTATACTTTCTTCCCTCTCCAAGCCACTAGAAATACATATAAACAAATGCATTTCATATTACCTAGAAAAGTTCAAGCTTTTCCATAGTAATCAGTCTGGGTTTAGAAAGTTTCATTCTTGTCACACTGCTCTGATTAAGATGAATGAAAACTGGCTTATAAATATTAACAAAAACCTACTCTGTGGCTCGCTGTTTGTCGATTTCAGAAAAGCCTTTGATTCTATTGATCACACCATACTTCTTAAAAAACTAATTCCATACAAATTCCACGACTTTACAGTTAGGTTACTTCACTCCTTTTTATCTAACCGATCTCAACGCGTGTTTCACCTTAATACCATCTCTTCACAGAAATATGTTAATATAGGGGTTCCACAGGGCTCAATCTTAGGTCCTTTACTTTTTTCTTTATACATTAATGATCTTCCATTACATATTGACGCTGGTCAGTGCGAGATGTTCGCTGATGATACTTCTTTGCATGTCTTTGCAGACAGTGCTGAGTCACTCAGTTACAAACTTCAATCATGTGCCAATCAGCTTGCAACTTGGACAAAATTTAACAAAATGAAACTTCACCCCGATAAAACCAAGTCAATGTTTATTACAACTCATCAGAAACGCCTTCGTCTTCCATCCACCGCATTAAACATTACTATAGACAATTCAAACATTGAACAGGTAGACAGTTACAAATGCCTAGGATTGTTTATAGATCACAACCTCACTTGGTCTGACCATATTCATTTTCTAAGAATGTCCTTATTAAAGACAACCTTTCAGTTAGCAAGGATAAAGAACTTTCTCAACTATAGGAGCAGGCTGGTTTTTTATGAGGCTTTTATTCAATCCAGGTTGGATTATGCTTCTGTAGTGTGGAGCGGCAGCTTTATATCTAAGCAGCGTCCTCTTCTTTCTTTACAAAAAAGGGCTATAAAACTGGTTACTGGCTTGTCTAGTAGTATGGATTCTTTTCTTACAACTAAAATACTTCCATTAAATAAAAAGATAATATATACTAAATCAATTTTCTTATATAAAATATTCCACGAAACAGCCCCCTCTTACTTATCAGATCTATTTTCTTTTAACATAAAATTAAATCGTCGTCTCAATTTACCATTCCCTTATTCAACCTTTTTCCAAAAACATAGCTTCGCCTACTCTGGTTCTAATTTGTGGAACAATCTTCCTAATAAAATAAAGCTATCTAGATCTGAAAATATATTCAAATCTAAATTAAAACTAAAATTATTTAATGACCTAACTGACTCATTGTAACATTTCTCATTCATCTATTATATTCTCTTTTTTATCTCATTATGTATGATAGCTATGTACCATTGTTTCTTTATTCCACATTTTCAGTGCTATGTGTTACTGCTATGTGTTATTGAATTGCTTTATTTGTTTAAACGGCCAATGTGAAAAAAGGCCTTTGTGCCTACAATTGTAACCGTTGTTTGAATAAATTTGAATTTGAATTTGAATTTGAACAGAAACACAACAACGGAAACACAACAACAGACACACAACAACGGAAATACAACAACAGAAACACAACAACGGAAGCACAACAACGGAAACACCACAAACGTACGCACCCACTCCGGCTGCTGCATCTGAAAACACTGGATGATGCACTGCATGCCGATGAAGATGAGGAAGGCGAAGGTCACGGTCAGCAGAAGTCTGGTGATCTGGTTCTCCGACTGCTTGCACTTCTTCATGGATTCCCGCGTCTTCTTCCCTGACATCCGTCTGTTGGACTCGGTGATCTGTCACGTGGGTACAGCTCATTATTCATTGTGACATGTCACATTAGTAGCTCATTACTTTTTACATTTAGATTGTTTCTATTTTCATGTATTTTCTTTAGTTTGAAAGTTAACAATAGAATTTTGAAAACTATTGTATTTATATACTGACTCAATTTTAAAGCTTGCTGTTTTATATAAATATATATATATATATATATATATATATATATATATATATATATATATATATATATATATATTTATAATTGTGGATCTTCCACCCTGCAACGTTTAGTATGCTGAGTTGCTGGTACTTTCATGATGATCTCAATGTTCATGAAATCATCAAGACACCAATAACTTACTTTCATGATGATCTTGATGTTCATGAACAGAACGGAGAACCAGGGGATGAGGATCAAAATGATGCAGTGGATCCAGAACTCGTAGAAGTCTCCTCCCTCCCCGGCACCGAAGCGGGTCTTCTCGAAGGATGGCCTAGGTTTGGTGTCGGTGCTGTTGTCCTCCTGGCTGTTGTCGACGTGCTTGAAGTAGCCGAAATGTGGCGCGTTGACGATGAAAGAGTTGATGGTGATGAGGAACAGGCCCAAATTGGCTCGTCTCTCGTTGCAATATTTCTAAACAGAGTGTCAAATTTATCAATAAATAAAAATTATTTTAAATATAAATGACAAATGATAAAGTTAATTTTCGTGGTTTTAAATCTAATAATAGGACAAGGTGTTGATTTAACGTAATTGATAAGACAAATATGTAACGAAAGTGCTAGTTAAAAACGAAAGATATACCAACATCAAAGTGTTTTCCAATCCCCCCCCCCCTCCCCCTCTTCAAATATCGGAACGAAACGGGATAAACATCTATATATATAATTCTCCTCTTCGAGCCGTTAGAAAACAAGCTGCAAACGCTCTCCCTACCTCCCCACCCCTACATGGTTTTAGTGAGCTGTGTTCACTCTAAATGTTTACAAGCAGAGCCAACGATTTATTTTAAACGTAGGGGGGGGGGGGGAAGTGGGGGAAGGAAGGGGGGGGGGGTTATGGTCCTTAACGAGCTACTTATAGTGTTTTAAAGAAATATTTTCAGTGTCAGCGTTGGTACTGTCGAATTCACAAATTATGAATTATTGAAAATTAGAAACAACTAAATAGCGGCGTATGTTATGCCGCGGGCCGGCTCGTTATTTTTATTTTTCTAGAAAATATATATTTTAACCAGTGTCCGGACTCCCCCCCCCCCCTTCCCCCGAATATATGTGCCCTTCCCCCCCTTCCAAATCGTATTTTTTAAAATTGCCTTTAAAAAAATATTTTAACACCAGAATGTGAGGTCTCTTTGAAAATAATGTAAACAATTTTTTTTTTAATTTTCAAAGATTTTTCTCATCAAATTCCTATAGAAAAATATATTTCTGTTGAAAGCCAAAGATCTCAAATTTGCTCGAGTAAAATCATGCACATATAAGTATGTTAAAAAAAATAACCAAGGATTACCACAAAAAATCAAATCCTACCTTAGCACTCGTAATCCAGCAGACCATGATGTACCGATCCACCGTGACCCCCACTATGATCCACACGCTGAGAACCACTGTGAAGAACAGCATGGGGTACCCGATGTAGCTGAAGAAGACGCCGTAGCTGGGGCTGTAGATGACGTCAGGGTACCAGGCCTGCAGTGAGTCACACAGGAGGAACATGACCAGCACGCCGATGTCGGCTCCAGCCTGTGGAAACATCAAAGGTACGAGTACAGGGAGTCACACAGGGGGAACATGACCAGCACGGTTCCAGCCTGTGGAAACATCAAAGGTACAAGTACAGGGAGTCACACAGGAGGAACATGACGGTCCCAGCCTGTGGAAACATCAAAGGTACGGGTACAGGGAGTCACACAGGAGGAACATGACGGTCCCTGCCTGTGGAAACATCAAAGGTACGGGTACAGGGAGTCACACAGGGGGAACATGACCAGCACAGCTCCAGCCTGTGGAAACATCAAAGGTACGCAGAGTTTCTTCCAGGCATCTCTTCGCCCCCCCCCCCCCCCCCCGAAAATTTTTTACCGCCCCCCCCCCGAACGAAATGAAATTTATATAATTTATATAGAAAATATATACTTTTAACAGTGTCCGCCCCCTCCGAAGAAAGTCTACCGCCCCCCCCCCCCCCCCGAAAATTTCAAGTGCCCCCCCCCCCCCGGAGAAAAAAAGTCTGGAAGAAACACTGAAGGTACGAATAGTGGCGTCCGTCTTCGGCAGCAGTGGCGTCACTAGGGCGGGTGTCACCCTGATGGGTGTCACTCGATGCGGTGTCACCCGCTGCGATGTCACCCTATCCCTTTCCTACAATTTTGTATTATTATTTTTTCGTGTCACTCCTACCCTTATTCTTTAATTTTTAAACTAGATAAAACACAATTGTACGGTTAATTTTACAATTTTCCGATTTCATGCCACTCCCTAAAGGGTGTTATCGGGTGACCTTTATGAATCACCCAGTCAAAACTACACTGACTCTCTCACACACACATATATACATACATACACGCACACACACACACACACACACAAACACACACGCACACACGGCTACTCACCATTCCTGTCAGATATCTTGCCGTGGAGCTGACCATCCCAGGCCGGCACCAGACTATGATGGACAGGATGTTGCCCACCAATCCCAGGATGCACAAGATGGGTCCGATGATGGCGCTCATGACGTAATGGAACCTGGTCGCCACCGTCCAATCCCCGTCCTCGCCGGTGATGGTTAGGATTTGGGTTGTGTTGGTGAGGATACTGGATGCGATGTCGCTTGTGATGTTTAGGTCCGCCATTGTGAAGCAACGCCAAAAACTATCGGCTGTATTGCCACTTGGGATAAAATAAGTTCTGGACTGTTCCAGATAAATTTTCTGACTGTTTTCCTTTACTCTTGTAAAAAAAAGTAATTTATTTCGTTAACCACTTGAATAAAAAGAATTACTCATGTATTTCTTGGAATCTGTTTTAAAAAAATATTGAATGTTTGTTAAATATGTAATAGAAGATTTATTTTTTTAAATATAAATTATTTCACACACAAAAAAGAAAATAAAACATAATTTTTTTAAACAGTGCTTTTGAATGTGTTTCTAAAATATCGGCCATACACTGTTAAAACCGAAGAATAGTTTAGTTGTTTCCCTTGAGGCGATAATCTACCCCTACCTTATAAGCCTTGGGTAGAGCCAGTAATACAAGCAACAAAACAAATATTCATTTTAGACCAGCGGCGTCACTAGGTCCGAAGGTCGAGTGTCACCCTTTGGTGTTAACGGAGGGTGTCACCCTTTGGTGTTAACGGAGGGTGTCACCCTTTGGTGTTAACGGAGGGTGTCACCCTTTGGTGTTAACGGAGGGTGTCACCCTTTGGTGTTAACGGAGTGTGTCACCCCACCCACTCTCCAATAATTTTTTTGCATTTTATTATTCTAACTGAGTAAAACACTATTTTAACAGTATAGTTTACGATTTATAAAATTAGGTGTCACCCCCTGAAATGTGTCACTCAGTTCGGACTATAGGCTACACCCTTGTGACTTACACCCTTGTGGCGTTTGCGGACCCAAAATGTCAAAAAAAAAACGTATGTGATTAGTATTGGACCCCCCATAACTGGTAGTGAAGTATGGGCCCACAATGTCAAAATAAAACCAAATGTGATTAGTACTGGACCCTATGACAGGTAGTGAAGTACTGGCCCACAATGTCAGAAAGACAAATGTGATTAGTACTGGACCACCATAACAATTAGTGAAGTACGGGCCCACAATGACACCCCCATCATGCCCGCATGTACTCACACTATAACAATATTCGCCAACTAACCATTGAAACAGGGAGCGTGAGTACTTAATCACGTGATATGACGACCGAGTTTTCTGAATAAAGTGCGACGATCTTTTGCGTTGTACACAAACTTATAAACCAAAACCAGGTTTACCCCTAGGTGAGTTAGGAATGGGTCGAAGAGGGTTCTAAGCTTTTATTTGATATATAAAGACGAATAAAAAATACGAGTATACACTAAAACGCGATGAATACCACTTTAACATACAATTTGATGTAGCCTACATGTTTTCTGCACCAAAGATGGTAGTTCTGTTAGCTCTACTCAAGTTAATTAGAATTTCAAGATTTAGGTTAGTGTGAATCTCAGATTTTAAGTTAGTCAGAAATCTTAATTTTAACAGTACAATACCATTAAAAAACAATAATTTCTTTCAATTTCGACCGTTGTTTTTTTTTATATTGTGTAAGTTTATCATTAAGCTGATAATTAAAATGTTCATTTGATTTCCAATTATTGACAATCGCTAGTAAAATAAAAAATGTGATTTATCACACTTAAAATAGTTGTTATTAATATTATTATTATTATTATTATCATTTATTATTATTCCCAATAACGAGATGCAATAAAACCATTATTTCGTTTTTATATTTATTGTCATTAACATCATTAACATCGTTATCATAAATCATTATCATAATTATTAGCTAATTAAGTTTTACCATAACAATCTCCACCTACCCAAAAATGTAACTCCAACTGTGAATGACTAGACACCACTCAGCTAGAATCTAACAGAAATTAATTGTAGTTCATCATTTTATACGACTCATTAACCTAATTATGGCCGCTCGTCTAGGGGACTGCGCATGACGAATACTTATCAAATACTTAGCGGCAGTTTCATGGACGTTCGGAGATGTTTTGGTGGAGCAGGGTCATCCCCGCTCGCTCATTGGACAGACGGAATTTTACGACGATTTGATTGGGTGGTTTCGGCACGCGGTGATGAAAGGGGAAGTAGAAAGTTAGGACTGACCAGGAGAAAACCGGAAGTTGTGGCTTGACCGCGTGTAGTGATAATAACCCTCCGGGGTCACCCCGTTAGCGGGATGGTTTGAGTGGGGCGGAAAATTACGAGATACGTACATCACGTTTTTAAGAGGGAGTTAATTTTTTAACTTTGGTTTTAGGCCGACCTGAACCGATTTAATGAAATGGGGTAGAAACAATGTTGTTGTAATAGTGACGAAAGCTGTAGCGGAGGAAAATTTATATATATATTTATATATATATATATATATATATATATATATATATATATATATATATATATATATATATATATATATACATATATATATATACACATATATATATATATATACATATATATATATATACTAGGCATGCTGCCCAGCTTCGCTTAGGCTTTCGAAAACATTGAGAATTTGAATGCTTAATTAATTCGCCCGAAGGTCGGTCTACGACCTCAAGAGTTATGAAGAGGTTCCTCCGTGGACATTTTTTTTCGATTTATAGCTCATATAAGGTACCGGTCAGTCGAGGTCAGTTTTGACCCCCACATCGTAGACTTTTCGGCCAACCGGCCCCCGTGTTCTGTCGCACCAAGGCAAGATCATGCCAAATTTGAAGCGCCTGCGGCGCCGGGAAGTGCCCTATCGGACACCCGACAATCTAGATCTAGATCTAGATTCCTAAAAGAATTTTTTTTTAAAATTTAGCCCGAGCATAATAAAAAAGAATACATTAACCAAGTTGACTTGCTGTGTCTCGAACCCGCACCACCTGCGTGGTTTAATGTACACTAACATCTCCGCTATTTAGGCACCTTATAAAATACGGAGAATGAAACACGTATTTTAAAATCTTAACTTACGCGAATATGCCTATTCTTTCAAATTAATTTTTTATCCCAAATTAGCCAGTTCCAAACAAAGATTTTGTATAAAATAAATAAGTCTTGAAATAGTTTAGTCCTAATATAGACATTTATTTTTGGAATTGATTTTAGAGAAGTTAGAGTCTAAATCTAGATCTTAGCGTCTACGTCTAGATCTAGTTATTGCGTAGATTTAGATTTAGATTTAGTCTAGATCTAGAATCTCTAGATCTAGAATCCAAATACATAAAATAAATTTTATGAGTTTAGGCCGGAAAAATTGTATTGTATACATTTCATAGTGTACGTAGATCTAAATCAAATTTGAATGAAATAGTTCATTTCTTTTCATTCTTAACACGGCAGATGACGTCATTAGTTAATGTATAAGCAATAGTGACGTCACAGTTTTATGCGTTCTTTTTCACATATATTAATGCTTTTCCGGTTGCATAAATAATACTGTTTCTCTACATTCGAATACGCCTTTAATTTTTATTTTTCTTCTTTAAATAAAATTGTGGTTATACATTTAAAACATCTAACATATTATTTTCAACAAAAGTCCGTAAAAAGTTCTCCATATACCGCTGCCGATTCTGACGTGATGTCCGGCGAAAATTTTTTGCGGACAGAGAAAGAGAGAGAGAGAGAGAGAGATGTGCGCACATTGGGCTTTTATAAATTAGGATATATATATATATATATATATATATATATATATATATATATATATATATATATATATATATATATATATATATATATATATATACATATATATATATATATATACATATATATATATATATATATATACATATATATATATATATATATACACATATATATATATATACATATACATATATATATATATACATATATATATATATATATATATATATATATATATATATATATATATATATATATATATATATATATATATATATATATATATATATATATATATATATATATAAAAGAGAGAGAGAGAGAAAAATCGTACTAGAAATAATCCTACATGCTTGGAATGAGGATAGGGCTGTGGTTAGGCATAAGGTTTATTATTTATTTGGTTACATCTAGGTCCAGATCATTGAATTATATTATTAAGATTATGGAAAAGTACTTTTTGGAACCAGTAACATTAGAGACGAGAAAAATGGCCCGTTGAGGAAGGGTACAACGGGCGCTAGGCTGATAGTGCTGTCTCTTTTCTCTAAACTAAAACCAACCCACCCCCCACACACCACCCCCACCCCACCCCCACACACCACCCCCACCCCCACCACACACCACCCCCACCCCTCACCCCCACACACCACCCCCTCCACACACCGCCCCCCCACCCCCCCCCCAAAAAAAAAAACATGTCTACCGTCCCATTCAACGAAATATAATTATATACTTTTTCCAGTGTCCGCCCCCTCCCAGAAAATTCTACCCCCGCCCCCGAAAATTTCAAGTACCCCCACCCCTCTCCGGGGAGGAAAAAGTCTGAAAGAAACACTGAAACCAACCCACCCCCCCACACACCACCCCCCACCCCCCCCACACACCACCCCCCACCCCACCACCACCCCCCACCCCCAAAAAAAAACATGTCTACCGTCCCATTCAACGAAATATAATTATATACTTTTTCCAGTGTCCGCCCCCTCCCAGAAAATTCTACCCCCGCCCCCGAAAATTTCAAGTACCCCCACCCCTCTCCGGGGAGGAAAAAGTCTGAAAGAAACACTGAAACCAACCCACCCCCCCCCACACACCACCCCCACCCCCCCCCACACACCACCCCCCCCACCCCTCCACCACCCCCCACCCCCAAAAAAAAAACATGTCTACCGTCCCATTCAACGAAATATAATTATATACTTTTTCCAGTGTCCGCCCCCTCCCAGAAAATTCTATCCCCGCCCCCGAAAATTTCAAGTACCCCCACCCCTCTCCGGGGAGGAAAAAGTCTGAAAGAAACACTGAAACCAACCCACCCCCCCCACACACCACCCCCCACCACCCTCCCCACCCCTACACACCACCCCACCCCCACCCCTCCACCCCCCCCCCAACCCCCCCCAAAAAAAAAACATGTCTACCGTCCCATTGCAAGAAAACCACTTTTTAGATTAGACACATTAATTAGGCTGTAATTTTATTATAGAGTATCGATGAGGAAATTTCTTTTGAGTTGGGGAGGGGGGGGGGCTCAGACGTTCTTACGCGGGGGGTGGGGCTTCGCCCCTACCCGAAGAATTGTATGCAAGAAACTCTTCACGCAAACCATTTAGATTAGACAACATTTCCTTTTTTTCAATGTTTACGCGATAATCAATGACGTCATTACATTACTGTGTGCACTCTCTGGTTTGAGATTATGTTCTACTCTACGCTAAATGTGTCGACGTCATATTTCGTTTTTCGAATTACTGTGCATGTTTTTAAATTGCTTGTGTTTTCTCTAGAGCGTTCTTGTCAGACAGAGCGTTCTTGTCAGATACACAGACAGCGAAACTATTAGTATAGACGAGAAAAATGGCCCGTTGAGGAAGGATACACCGGGCGCTAGCTTGATAGTGCTGTCTCTTTTCTCTAAACTAAAACCAACCCACCCCCCCCCACACACACCACCCCCACCCCACCCCCACACACCACCCCCCACCCCCACCCCCCACCCCCCACACACACCGCCCCCTCCACACACCGCCCCCCCCCACACACACCACCCCCCCCACCCCTCCACCCCCCCCCCCCAAAAAAAAAACATGCCTACCGTCCCATTCAACGAAATATAATTATATACTTTTTCCAGTGTCCGCCCCTTCCCCGAAAATTCTACCCCCGCCCCCGAAAATTTCAAGTACCCCCACCCCTCTCTGGGGAGGAAAAAGTCTAAACTAAAACCACCCCACCCCCCACACACACCACCCCCCACCCCCCACACACACCACACCCCCCCCCACCCCCCCCCCCCCCCCAAAAAAAAAACATGTCTACCGTCCCATTCAACGAAATATAATTATATACTTTTTCCAGTGTCCGCCCCCTCCCCGAGGGGGGGGGGGGGGTCTCAGACATTCTTACGCGGGGGGTGGGGCTTCGCCCCTACCCGAAGAATTGTATGCAAGAAACTCTTCACGCAAACCATTAAGATTAGACAACATTTCCTTTTTATTCAATGTTAACGCGAAAATCAATGACGTCATATAACTTTGAGCACTCTCTGGGTTTGAGATTATTTTCTACTCTGTGCGCTAAATGTGTCGACGTCATACTTCGTTTTTCGAATTACTGTGCATGTTTTTATTTTCCTTGTGTTTTCTCTAGAGCGTTCTTGTCAGATAGATAGATAGACAGACAGCGAAACTATTAGTATTAATTATTGGAACCCGGGTCAACATCGTCTTTGAAAAAGTGGGATTATCGTTGGAATCGATGAACCGAAACCAAAGAGAAAGCATGGAGCCCTTATAGATCTCGCTTGATTCGCTAAACCGGAGAAAACAATTGTCAAAAACATACGACGATGGCTGGGCATATTGCTGTTTAACCTGTTTGCATTGTTTACATAATTAAAGACTAATTAGACACTCGATATTGACAAGAGAATATAAATACCACTAGATAACATTTGTATCAGTAGCCTAAATCGATTGATTCTGTGCATTGATCGATGACTGGTCTGTTCGGGGGTGACTGATACCACCTTGCGGACGGGTTTTCTAAATAACCTTTGACCTTCTAGCATCTCTCACATCCGGGTCATTAGATATCATTACGTGTTTGGATAGCACAAGGTCGTTATAAAACGGATCCACCGTGTCCAACTGACAAGATCCGTGTCAGTCATATGATTGGCTGGAAAATTGTACGGCTTTTACGCTTGTTTTGTTTGAGTGTTGGTAAAAACTCAAGTGCTCGTATAATTGCGCATCAGTTTAGTGCAATGCAGTGTTTCTTCCAG